GTTGTGTATATTATAAACATTTTGGGCTTTTGATAACAGTTCCTCTTGGCTTTTATTTCTTTTTCAAATTGGATGGCCCACGAACTATGGGTTCCATACACTTGATTGATGAAATGGACAAACCAAAATGGACATCAGGAAGCCACATTACTCTGTCATGTTTTCTTCAACTCCTGTGTTTGTTATTATTTTTGCCATTCATGTTTTTGCATATGTGGAATAAGTGTACAATAAATGCACTACAGAGCAGCACACATTTAATTCCCTTCTCTTTTATATTTAACGTCCAATTTGAAAACAACAAGTGTGTGTGTGAGATACTGGCAGTGAAAAAAATTGGAGGGAAAGCAGCACCAGGCAAGTGTTATTTGGGACAAATGGTCACCTGCTGACACTTTGAAGTGCTTGTTTGCAAGACAAAGACCATTTAAAGTCAGCCACTGTTGGAAAGATTAGGTTGGGGCATGCCCTCAAATCCCTGTTAACCCATTACACTCATACAAATACTTGGAGATTCCCTGCTATAAGTGTTGTCACTCGCAAGACTTGTTTTACTCAAGTAAAATAAAATTTTCAAATCAATATCATATATTGTATCGTATTTCAGTAACGCGTTATCCACTGATATTTGTATGTTTTTACTCTACATGTATTTACTATAAGGTTATGCAACCATCAAACCTGTATTTTATTTATATATTGTCGAAATCACAAGTGTCAAACTCATGGTCCGGCAGCCAGACCTGGCCTGCTACATTTTATGTGGCCTGTGAAAGCAAATCAAGTATGTCAACTTCCATGGTGTTTGCTAAAATCTGTACCAACATTTGAAATGGTCACATGTAGTAAATAATAATGTTGAAATGTTGCAAGCATTTCATTGCTACGTTATTACAGTAACTTGAACAATACCTGCACAAATTATTATTCTTGACTTCTGGGATTTACTTATTTCTACTACTTAACCATCAATTTGTTGTGTACTGTATATGTAATGATATGAGGAGGTGATTACACATTTATATGGATTCACAGTCATAATGGCTCTCCAAAATAAACTGTAACGTTGACAAAAATAGTTTGACACCCCTAGCTTACCTCTGGTTTTCTGCATATGATTTTAATGGTCCATTTTTTTCTCCAAAAATTAGGCATTACAGTAATAATTACTGAAGCCATTAAAATTCACCATAACTAAGGTATAAAGCAGGGTTGGGCAAAGTAAGCTCATCAAGCATTATTATGATCAAGTGTCCTGTAATATTTGTTGCATTAATTATATGTGGAATAAGTGTACAATAAATGCACTACAGAGCAACACACATTTAATTCCCTTCTCTTTTATAGTTAGCATAACAAGTGTGTGTTTGAGATACTGGCAGTGAAAAAAAATTGGAGGGAAAACAGCACCACGCAAGTGTTATTTGGGACAAATGGTCACCTGCTGACACTTTGAAGTGCTTGTTTGCAAGACAAAGACCATTTAAAGTCAGCCACTGTTGGAAAGATTAGGTTGGGGCATGCCCTCAAATCCCTGTTAACCCATTACACTCATACAAATACTTGGAGATTCCCTGCTATAAGTGTTGTCACTCGCAAGACTTTTGTTTTACTCAAGTAAAATAAATTTTTCAAAAAAATATCATATATTGTATCGTATTTCAGTAACGCGTTATCCACTGATATTTGTATGTTTTTACTCTACATGTATTTACGATAAGGTTATGCAACCATCAAACCTGTATTTTATTTATATATTGTCGAAATCACAAGTGTCAAACTCATGGTCCGGCAGCCAGACCTGGCCTGCTACATTTTATGTGGCCTGTGAAAGCAAATCAAGTATGTCAACTTCCATGGTGTTTGCTAAAATCTGTACCAACATTTGAAATGGTCACATGTAGTAAATAATAATGTTGAAATGTTGCAAGCATTTCATTGCTACGTTATTACAGTAACTTGAACAATACCTGAACAAATTATTATTCTTGACTTCTGGGATTGACTTATTTCTACTACTTAACCATCAATTTGTTGTGTACTGTATATGTAATGATATGAGGAGGTGATTACACATTTATATGGATTCACAGTCATAATGGCTCTCCAAAATAAACTGTAACGTTGACAAAAATAGTTTGACACCCCTAGCTTACCTCTGGTTTTCTGCATATGATTTTAATGGTCCATTTTTTTCTCCAAAAATTAGGCATTACAGTAATAATTACTGAAGCCATTAAAATTCACCATAACTAAGGTATAAAGCAGGGTTGGGCAAAGTAAGCTCATCAAGCATTATTATGATCAAGTGTCCTGTAATATTTGTTGCATTAATTTACACTGGCCTTTATATAATTATTGGCATCCCTGCTTAAGATTTTTTCTTTAGCGTCTAATCAATTAACTAGAGGAAACCCCCTAGTTAATACAGGACCAAAATTAAAAAACAAAGCAACCAAAATAACACAACACAAAAAGAGGAAACTCCAAATTTAATTAAAGTATATTTATTCAGTGGGAGAAAAAAAAATCCTACTTTAAGAAATAATTATTTTACTTCAAATCATGTGACATGGTTAATACAGGACCAAAATTTAAAAAACAAAACAACCAAAATAACACAACACAAAAAGAGGAAACTCCAAATTTAATTAAAGTATATTTATTCAGTGGGAGAAAAAAAAATCCTACTTTAAGAAATAATTATTTTACTTCAAATCATGTGTGCCACAATCTTAGCACCGCTGATGTCAATCCCTTGTACCACCCCCTTTCTGTCAATACAGCAGCACCTATTCTTCTCCTATAATGTTTCACAAGATGGGAGAATCCAGAAAGAAGGATCTTCAACCATTCCTCTTTGTACAATCTCTCTAAATCATTCGGCGAACTGGGTCCTCTCCTTTGCACCATCCTCATTAGCTCTCTCCACAGGTTTTAATGGGGTTGAAGTCTGGGGACTGAGATGGCAACGCATATTTCCGACATCCTACCTGTGTGAGTCGGGGGGGTTTCTGCAGCAACGGCGACGAAAACAAAATTACGAAGTAGACTGGACATAAACCACACACTTGAGGTGTCATTGTCTCCTATTACCCCGAGATGGGACTGTCTGATTGCAGAAAATCAAGCTCGGGGCTGTGGTGAGTCGTCATTTTCATGCACTTTGAATTTGCGTTGTATCGTATTTTGAAGGCATTAAACATTACCAGAGCGATAAGAGTGTTGCGACCAGATTAGACGCTCCTTGTGTTTATTATTATATTTCGAAAACACCACAGTTTTCATGCAGCTCATACCATATTATTTTGTTGTATTAATTCCGCCACACCTTAAATGCCGGTCCCTGAAAATATTGTCTGACTTAAACCGGTCCGTGGGGCAAAAAAGGTTGGGGACCCCTGCTCTAAATCATTCGGCGAACTGGGTCCTCTCCTTTGCACCATCCTCATTAGCTCTCTCCACAGGTTTTAATGGGGTTGAAGTCTGGGGACTGAGATGGCAACGCAGGAGCTTGAGTCTGTGTTTGGTGATCCATGTTTACAATTTTCAGTGCTTCTGGAATAAAAACTTAATTTATCTTAACCAGAGTAACCAATATATATATATTTTTTTACCTCAAGTATGAGACATGGCCCATCTCCCCATTTTGAGAATCAAATATGGGCTTTGTGCACACAGTCCTGATACATATTACTGGACAGTGTGCCTGTAGTAGTGTAAATTGTGTGACGCATTGAACACCATTCGTTGTAGAACTACACTTCCCATGATGCACCAGCGACCCGCCCTCAATTGACCCTGTGACTGAAAATAATCTGATCAGCTGATCTGACTTGGCGACAAAATAACGTAGCGACTGAAATCTGTAAGGGAGGGGACCCACGAACAAAAACATTGACACGGCTCGGATGGATTTTACAAACAGCGCCACTTTTTAAAGACTTTTAAAGCGACGTCGTAAGGATCCCTCCCGGCTTGATGGTCTCCGCTGTTATCGGAGCTCTTTGACATCGATTGACTGCAGTTTTGTTGATGTTTTGAAGTATATGTCGCTAGCTGCTCATTTTTTGCCTGCTGCTACTGCGAGGATCGCTTACTCAAAAACGACGGGCTTGATTTAGACAAAGCCCCAACACGCACAGAACCGCTAGTTTGAAGGAAAGCGTTTCCTGTCTGGATGCCACAGAATTATATTTGTCGTTTTAACCACCGAGCTATTTTTTATGATTAAGGGCCAGTCTGGCTGCTAGCTAGTTGTTACCTTGATTTGCACATTTCATTATTCACAAGGAAGAGTTCTTGGTCTGCTGACGGTTTCGTACACATCTTTCACCTTTGTTATTCTTGATTGTTGTAACTTAATTTGTGTGTGTTTGTGTTTAATGGTAACTTTGAGGTACAAACAAGCTAACTGTTTGTTACAAGTCAGGTCTATTCTTTGTGGTTACACTAATAGCAAATGGATGTCGATATAACAAGTTGTTATAGGCTTTAAATGCACGTCAGTTAAAATAACTTATTTTATTGTGCACAAAACAACATTGCCCTTGTGAGAATGCAGCTAATTTAAGTTGACTTAGTATTTTTGAGTAATTTAGCCAGTATTATCACAGTGCTGTCGGAAATCGCTGGTGCTACAGTTAAAAGCATTTCCAAAAGGCAGTCAGCTGTATTTTTAAGGTGACAGAAACGATGAGTGGGCATGGCTCATCATCTTCTGAAAAGGGAGTCAATACAAGTCTAACATGTCAAGAGAGTTATGTCTGTGGTGGCTCTGAGCAGGCCGCTTTTGATTGTCAAGAGTGCAGCACCTTGCAGTGTGTTCGTTGTGATCTCGAGCTTCACAATCAGAAGCGCTTCCAGAACCACGAGCGCCACCAGATAAACCCGGGCCACGTCCCTTACTGTGACAACTGCAAAGGAGGGGACAATGGAAAGCACAGCAGATCGGTCGTCCGTTGCCAGAGCTGCAAAGTGAACTTGTGCCAAGAGTGTCAAAAGCGCACTCACAGCGGAGGGAACAAGAAGAAACACCAGCTCATATCGTATCTTCTGCCACCGAAACACACGGAGCTCAAGTTTGTTCAAGCTTCTGTTCAGCCTGCTGTCCAAATCGCTGATGAGCAAAAGTCACTGAAGGCAGAACTCCTGGAAAATGTGTCCAGTTTCCTCCTTGTTGATGAAAATGAGGAAATGCAGGTAAGCTGTACAGAAGTAGTGCTTCATAGAGGTAAATCAAAGTCTTATTCCTTTGATTTTAATTTTCCCAGATAAAAGATGATGTTGCATTTGTGAAGAAGCTGAACTGTGGCGCCAGACAGCTCCTAAAAGTGGTGTCCATCTTTGGTAACACCGGAGAGGGCAAATCCCACACCCTCAACCACACCTTCTTCATGGGCAGGGAGGTGTTCAAGACTTCCCCCACGCAGGAGTCCTGCACGGTTGGAGTGTGGGCGGCCTTTGACCCCTTCCATAATGTAGTGGTCATTGATACAGAGGGGCTGCTGGGGAACAGTTCCAAACAGGGCCAGAGGACCCGTCTCTTGCTCAAGGTGCTCGCCATCTCCGACCTCATCATTTACCGCACCCACGCAGACCGCCTCCATGATGACCTCTTCAAATTTCTTGGAGACGCCTCGGAAGCCTATTTGAAGCATTTCACCAAGGAACTGAAGGCCACCACGGCTCGCTGCGGTCTGGATGTTCCTCTCTCTACTTTGGGTCCCGCTGTGATCATCTTCCACGAAACTGTCCACACAAAGCTTCTTGGTACAGGAAGAAATTCTGTAATCTCTTTTTACAGTATGTTTGCTATAACAGGGATGGATTATCTTTTATTCCTATGTGAGGGCATTCCATTTTTTTAATAGGGTAATACAAAATTTATGGGGGGAAAAAATGTTGCAACAATTGAGCATGAATTGAACCAGCACGGCACATCTGCCACACAGTTCTGTGGTTCGCAGTTCAAATTAGGGCTGCTGCCTTCATCCTGGAGTGTGTAACCTTTTTTTTTTTTTTTTTCCCCCACCCAAGCCACTGTTGACACGATGCTGATTAAGCTGATCAGCTCCTCTAACATCTGGCTGTATTTTTCAATATTTTATCATTTATATTTTGTGTCAATCGTCTACATTTTCACGCTGATGGATGAGCACAAGGTTTGGACTTTGCAGCGGTTATTGTTTTCTTTTTGTTTTGTTTTCTGTCTGAGCTGAAGCTATCAGACACAAACATCTCAGGCAGTAAGTTATTCCCTATTATTGCTGCGTTTATGCTTTGCGTATTTTACATCCATCACCTTGGTGGGCAACTAAGGCCTTGGAAAGATGTTGAGTTTGTTCATTGTAATTGATGTTTTAATTCACAACGTAATTAGAGTGGTATTTTCCGCTACAGAAATGGAAAAAACATTTAGTTCGCTTTTTACAAATGGCATAGAAGGGGCCACATTGCGTAGTTTCCGCTATTTCGTATCCCGTGCTCCATCCAGCGAGCCTGTGTAAAAATGTGGACAGTTGACAGGAAATATAAAAAGATAAATGCGGAAAAATAGAGCAGAGGACCTGATAAGCTTAATCAGGAAGAAAAATACACAATTGGTTCAATAAAGCATGTGGCAAGTACAACCTTGAATAGTCACTGTACAGCTCACATCACGTCTCAACATAATGCTAACCTTACGAGGTGCTTTATGGCGGAATGCCTATTATTTTGGGAAAGAAACAATTGATAGAAATTGTGGTCAAACGTGTAGCTTGAGCTTTATTTCTGTGTTGAAACGGAACTAGCACAGTATTCGTACACTTACTTCAATGAAGCATCTTTGTGTTTTGTTTTAGGCAACTCACACGAATCAGTTGACCGGCTGTTGTTGGAGCGTTTCAAAAAGGTTTCCCGTTTCCCGGAGGCCTTCAGTTCTGTTCAGTACTGGGGCACGCAGACTCTCACTCCGCCCACTGACTTCTGCGGCCTGCAGAATAAACTGGAGCAGCTCCTGGACAACAATGCCACGCGTTCTCCACGCACGCCTGTGGTCATCTTCAAAGCCCTGCTGGTAGGGCTGCTTAAAAACCAAGATCTGAACATCTCATGTTCAATTAGTTTATAAACATGTATGTCATGCTAATGTTATTTTAAAGTAACATCTATTTTTGTTCGATTTCCTTATAGGCGTTAAGTGAGCGCTTCAGTGGGGAAATTGGAGACGACCTGGTAGCCCACAGTTGCTTCTTCCCTGATGAGTACTTCACTTGCTCCAGCTTGTGCCTCAGTTGTGGGTCAGTGTTTCTTGAATCCCACCCCTATGCTTCCTTCAGTCTCCTACTGTTGGTATTTGTTTAATGTTCCGACCCACCGATGTCCTCGCAGATCTGGTTGTAGGAACAGTATGAACCACCTCGGAGAAGGAGTCTGCCATGAGGCAAAGCATCGTTGTCGCTATTCAGTTCAGCAGGATAACCGCATTTTCACCTGTAAAGTAAGCACAGTCAAATATATTTGTTCCTCATGTTTACTTTTACTCTACCAACACAATACGGACAAAAGTATCGGGACACAAAGACGTCACACACAATAACTGAGAAATATAGAGTTGTTACAATAGACCTACCTTGCTTTGTGGCACAAATGCAATGGTGGAACAACATATAGAGTTGTTACAGTACACCTTGCTTTGTGGCACAAATGCAATGGTGGAACAAAAAAAATGCCTGCCTAAATTATTTCCACCAAATTGGAAGCTGAGTATGAACAATTTTAAAACATCTTGCTAAGATGAAGACCAAAGGTTGGGGTCGGGGTGTCCCAAGACTTTTTTCATACAGGAGTTATACGTGATTTGGAGCCTACACTAACACAGTCATGAAGACATAATTATAGCAAATATTTGTATGAAAAATGTTTCTATAACAAATATAAAGTAAGCATAACTGAGTATGCACTCTTTTTCCACCTGACAATGTGCATTTATGCCACTGCGCAAACTTGTTTCTTGCACACAATTTGGAATGAGCCCTTGTATAGTGAATGTCACTGTATTTCAGTAATTCAAGGTCAAAAAGTAAAATAACTTGTTTGTTGCATCACTTCAGGCTTGTTATGAAGGTGGCAAAGAAGTGATTGTCATCCCGAAGACCTCAGCTTCCTCGGACTCACCTTGGATGGGCCTCGCCAAATATGCCTGGTCAGGGTGAGTAGGGGTTCCAGGGGGAGCCGCACGGACAGGGATAAATGAACTTCGCCAAGGCTTTTGTTACCCTGCATGAACTTGTGTTCCAGTGATTTTAATGCAGTTCTTTCACAAGCATGAATCAGTGTCGCTTGTTCCCTCCACGCATTAGGCGCGGTCGAACCATCAACCGTTATGTCACAAGTCACATTTCTAACCAATTATTCATGGATTCTTTTTTTTTTTTTGTATTCATTTTCAGGTATGTTATTGAATGCCCCAACTGTGGAGTGATCTATCGGAGCCGTCAGTATTGGTATGGGAACCAAGACCCAGTGGATACAGTAGTCCGCACCGAGATCCAGCATGTTTGGCCAGGGGTAAGAGGAATATGTTACAGCCTGATTACTGTGTACCCTCACATAGTAGCCTTCATTCTGACTGATGCCGCATCTCAATTAATGACAGGGTTTCGTCAAAAACAATTCATATTCTGGATCCTATCCCAGCAGTCTTTGGGCGTTAGAAATTCAAATCAACATTGCAACGTAACAGAGTGCAATTTTCAAATTCCAATAGCTGAAACTTGAAAAAGAAAACACATCTGCTTAATCTTGGTTGGTCATCAGTCTTTATTTTTTGTATATATGTATATGTATGTCTATTTATTTATATAGTGTCTAGAGAGGTTTAATGCTTAAGAAGTGCAGTCCACATGTTTACGTCTCACTGTTGCTTGAAACATGAAAAGTTGAATAGAGCCACATACAGTATTTGTTTGCATTATTGTTGCGATTTAGGACTTACTGACCTGTGTTTACTTGTTTGGTAGGATTTTGTGACGTTGTCGTAGTGAACGCTTAAAAGACAAAGTCAAGTCAAAGTGTTCAGTAAGTTGATATCTCAAATTGTTGTAGATAAACTGCCTTACTTAATACTACATGGTTCATTTGCCTTTATTTCATCATAAGTCAAACCTTTTGCACCAAAATATTTATACGCCATTTTGCATTAGGCGCGGTCGAACCATCAACCGTTATGTCACAAGTCACATTTCTAACCAATTATTCATGGATTCTTTTTTTTTTTTTGTATTCATTTTCAGGTATGTTATTGAATGCCCCAACTGTGGAGTGATCTATCGGAGCCGTCAGTATTGGTATGGGAACCAAGACCCAGTGGATACAGTAGTCCGCACCGAGATCCAGCATGTTTGGCCAGGGGTAAGAGGAATATGTTACAGCCTGATTACTGTGTACCCTCACATAGTAGCCTTCATTCTGACTGATGCCGCATCTCAATTAATGACAGGGTTTCGTCAAAAACAATTCATATTCTGGATCCTATCCCAGCAGTCTTTGGGCGTTAGAAATTCAAATCAACATTGCAACGTAACAGAGTGCAATTTTCAAATTCCAATAGCTGAAACTTGAAAAAGAAAACACATCTGCTTAATCTTGGTTGGTCATCAGTCTTTATTTTTTGTATATATGTATATGTATGTCTATTTATTTATATAGTGTCTAGAGAGGTTTAATGCTTAAGAAGTGCAGTCCACATGTTTACGTCTCACTGTTGCTTGAAACATGAAAAGTTGAATAGAGCCACATACAGTATTTGTTTGCATTATTGTTGCGATTTAGGACTTACTGACCTGTGTTTACTTGTTTGGTAGGATTTTGTGACGTTGTCGTAGTGAACGCTTAAAAGACAAAGTCAAGTCAAAGTGTTCAGTAAGTTGATATCTCAAATTGTTGTAGATAAACTGCCTTACTTAATACTACATGGTTCATTTGCCTTTATTTCATCATAAGTCAAACCTTTTGCACCAAAATATTTATACGCCATTTTCTTTAGAATTCATCATTGCCTTGATTACAAAAGCTCCTCTACCTTGATCCACATGATCATATCTTGTCAATATTTGACACATTTGATGAGTCCAGGAAGACATCTACGAATTATTTTTTTAAATCATAGTGGTAGCGCCACTTACTGGCTGGAGGAAATATAATATGTTTTATCCTTTGATATTTTTGCCCAGTGGCTTAACCAGATTTACCTCACAGCTTCTTGGAAGAGGTTTTAGGCCTTTTTGATGTTGCAACACGAAGTTTGTGTATTTTCGTGAAAAGCTGTTTCCATGGCAACACGCTGTTCACCAAGAAAACCGCACTACTTGCGAGGGTCCAAACAGGCACGAAAACTCCTGAAATTTTGCAAACATATCAGGCCTAGCAAAAGCATCAATAATTTTTTTTTTTTTAAATGGCTCAACAACGCCCCTTACAAATTTTCAATGAAGCAGGGTTGGTTGTACGTGTCAGCAAGATCCATTAAATTTTGGAGGTGTTATACAATCAGAGATGAAAGTCCTCCGGATTTTCCCGGAATTCCGGGTTTTTCAAATTTTTATGAAAATTTCTCCGGAGAATTGAGGAAAATTTGCATAATCCGGATATTAGTTGACAACATTGAACGAAGACGCATTTGAGTTCGTTGTATTGCTTTCACGAGCGTAGCCATATTGAGGCACTAACACTAGTAACACTAAAGAGATTTTTGTTTGTGTAATAACGACAAAAGGCATGATGGCGGTTGACTAATGGTTTAGCAGAAGGAATGGC